CATATTACAATATATATATATATATATATATATATATATATAAACAAAAATATATGAGATTATAACGAGAGCATTTAAGCATTTATGTGCCACAGAAACAGAATGTATAACAATAAAAATGAAAGAAATAAAGTAATAACTACAGAAATTAATACATAAATAAGTGATTTAATACACAAATAAATTAATTAAGGGCTTAATTTAGTGAATTTAAAAAATTTTTTTTTTATCCTTAATGGTTATTAATTTACATAAATTTGGTCTTTATGAAAGTAAAAAATAAATAAGTGAATAAAACTTTCTTGCCCGTCATTGACTAACTTTAAGGACTCCAATGTAAAAATGATGCACAAAAAGTGCAAGTGGTTACATTAGCCGATGTTAAACCTCCAAAACGAATATTTAGTGAACAAAATGATGATTGATCTTGACTCTTGCCTTGTTTATGTTGCATGTTGTGGATTTGCAGTGTGTTGCTGGGCGGTTGGTGTCAGTGGGGTGCCTGTTCCAGATCCTCTGAGGTTAAAGGGGTCATGAACTGCATTTTATTTTATTTTATAATGTTTATTATAACTTGTTTTCTTTTATTTCTTTGTTTTATTGATATTAGTTTAATTCTGTTTCTCTGTGCAGCACTTTGGTCGGCTCTGTCATTATTAAATGTGCTATATAAATAAATTAAACTGAAACTGAAAGTATTTACTGAGGTTCACTTAAAATGTTAGTGTGATTTTACATCAAAAATCATCAATTTATAAGTAATAGGCTATTTTCTATCCTGTTTTTGAGCCTCTCTGCAGAACGGTCTGTTTTTATAGACGGGGCGCATTCAAGACTCGCAAGTAAACGCCCACTGCTATGATTGGCTAACAGTTCTGCTTATTAAAATAACAGATGGATGCTGCTGTGATGTACTCTGAAAATAACATGGGTTATTTGGGTTAAAAAGGTATAAATACTCAGTATATATCAAACTGTCTGGAACAGACAATGCAATAGTGGTAAAAGCACGTTTACTCACACTTATGTGTTGCGACATTACTGTTGGATCCACTCTATTCAGACTCAGCTTTTTTTTATCCTTAATGGTTATTAATTTACATAAATTTGGTCTTTATGAAAGTAAAAAATAAATAAGTGAATAAAACTTTCTTGCCCGTCATTGACTAACTTTAAGGACTCCAATGTAAAAATGATGCACAAAAAGTGCAAGTGGTTACATTAGCCGATGTTAAACCTCCAAAACGAATATTTAGTGAACAAAATGATGATTGATCTTGACTCTTGCCTTGTTTATGTTGCATGTTGTGGATTTGCAGTGTGTTGCTGGGCGGTTGGTGTCAGTGGGGTGCCTGTTCCAGATCCTCTGAGGTTAAAGGGGTCATGAACTGCATTTTATTTTATTTTATAATGTTTATTATAACTTGTTTTCTTTTATTTCTTTGTTTTATTGATATTAGTTTAATTCTGTTTCTCTGTGCAGCACTTTGGTCGGCTCTGTCATTATTAAATGTGCTATATAAATAAATTAAACTGAAACTGAAAGTATTTACTGAGGTTCACTTAAAATGTTAGTGTGATTTTACATCAAAAATCATCAATTTATAAGTAATAGGCTATTTTCTATCCTGTTTTTGAGCCTCTCTGCAGAACGGTCTGTTTTTATAGACGGGGCGCATTCAAGACTCGCAAGTAAACGCCCACTGCTATGATTGGCTAACAGTTCTGCTTATTAAAATAACAGATGGATGCTGCTGTGATGTACTCTGAAAATAACATGGGTTATTTGGGTTAAAAAGGTATAAATACTCAGTATATATCAAACTGTCTGGAACAGACAATGCAATAGTGGTAAAAGCACGTTTACTCACACTTATGTGTTGCGACATTACTGTTGGATCCACTCTATTCAGACTCAGCACTGCATCATCGTTTACTTTCAGTCTCTCTGAAAAGCCTGCATCATACTGTCTTGTTTAAAAATGAAACCGTATTCCATAGCAAAGTAAAGCAAACAAACAGTGTTTCACTGACGCGATCTGGAGCTCTTTGCTAATTTTACCACGTGAGTGGCGCAACACGACTATAGACAACAGAACCCATTATAATCGTCGATTCTGTCTACACTGGATGCAGCACGGATTAACACAACAAATCCCCGAAAGTAAACTGATGTCCCGCTCTATTTCTGACATACTCTAACCATTCGTGCCGCTTCTGACCTGAAAGAGAAATTGATTTGCGACATGACGCAACAGTGCTCGAGTCCGATCTAGATATGTTAGAATCACAAGGAAGGCAATTCAAAGACTATTTTTCACAACTTACACTACACAATGTCTTGTAATCTTATAATGTCATCTGTATGACATCCTGTGTTTGCTTGTCTCTAGTACTTCCTCTCCTACTACTACAAGCGTGTATCAGTGGGCGGGGCTAAAGAGGCAGTGCTGTAGAAGCAGGCTTTGATCTTCTCCTGCGGAGGTGGTGTTTAGCCACACTATTACGTTATAAGGTGGCACATTCCAAAATGAGTCGTTTTCTGAGCTTGGTTTCAATAAAAGATGTTTTTAAACTAACGAGAAAGTTTTGAAACTTACAGGATGTAACATTGACAGTACACTGACCTGTTATATGTCAAAAGATCAAGGGAAATTTGATTTCTCTGTCCCTCTGTATTTAAAGGGGTCATGAACTGAGTAGCAACCCCATTCCACCCGGCTGGGCCTGAAAACAGCCAGTCAGCCAAGTGCTAAACATAAGTGACAAATGCCGTCTGACTCGAATCACCTTCCATCAGACCCCATGACTGCCTCCCACCCAGAGAGAGATAAACAGTGCTGCGTAAAGATAAAACTGGTTTCTCTAGGCTCCTTTCACTACTGTTCGTCAATGCAATAACCAAACCTGCACTCAAAATTTCAGCATTTGTACAGTCCAGAAAATTGAAGCCTCAGATACAGATATGAATGATCATGACTGACTCATTGAAAACTGTCTAAAATGGAAACTAATGTATTAAACCAATATATTTGGTGTTTGGATTGCTGGGTGGATTCTGACAACTGTTGCTACCAAATAACAGCAAGTTTAAAGACTCCGCAACATCATTCAACAATGTTTTCTGTCCTGTGTTGATGGATTATTTAATGTTTTGGTGGAAAATCTCTAATAAAAGTGTCTTTTTTTAAATAGAATTTAGGTTATCCCACACACACATATACATAATATGTATTAAAGTAGAAATGAACATTAACTAGATAAATGAATGCTGTAAGCTCAAAAAGTAAAAATTTTTTTTTTTTTCCAGTTTGTATTCAATATATTCACTTCAAAATAGTGGATTTTGAAGTGAATATATTGAATACAAACTGGAAAAAAAAACATTTTTTAACTTCCTCAAATTTAACAACGTTATAATTTAAAATGAGTGAAAAGCCTGGAGAAAAACCTCAGTACAGTTATCAATGAGAAAAAAGGACAATGCTCCAATTTTTCCCACATACATGTGTGAATTTGAAAACCATTTTACTCAAGTTGATCAGGCTTTCAAAGAAAACTAGGACACTGTCAGCTTTGATGTCTTAATTGTGAGCCTTTTTTAAAAATGACAGAGATGTGCAGGCCTATTTATGGAACAAAAGACAGATCTAGTGAGAGTACTGGAAAGAGAGCGAGCGAGACAGAATGGACGAGTTAAATTGAACGATTTTTAACAATGTTTAATTATGAAGCACAAATACGACTTCTGAATGCGAGCGCTTCTTTTTAAATACAGCTCTGAAGGAGGGTCTCGGAGTGTGGCCTTACCTGTGGGCTGATGCTGGGGCCGTAGCCCATCCCGGGTGACGCCATGGAATGTGGCCCCATGGGTGAGCTGATGACAGAGAAGGGAGAGCCCAGGCCGTTCATGGGTGAGCTCAGAGTGCTGATGGGGGAGTGCAGAGACCCTGAGTGGCCTAAAGAAGTCGGGCTCAGCAGTGATGGGTGCATCCCCCGGTGGGATGTGGGAGAGCTGAGAGGAGAGGACGTCATCTGTCCCGAGCAGTCTGTGGGGAGGAAAGTGGAAGGAAGTGGTTAGAACATTTACCATAGCTTTAGTCTGCAGCTATTTGCCAAAAAATGTCAGTGAAGAGATAATTTCCTCTTTCCAAGTATTAAGACATGAGACAGGCAGCTAAAAGCCTATACACCAGAGAGAGAGAGAGAGAGAGAGAGAGAGCCCTGTTGGGACCTTTTCACCCGCTTGCTGAACCTTACATTGCATGATTATTCTGAGAAAGTAACAAAAGACAGACAGTCACATGGGTGCACTGCACTTCTTTATCATCTAGCGCAGAGGTCACCAATTAGAGGATTGTGGATCATTTACAATAAATGAATATAATTAGAAGCAATTTTTTCTGCACATGGCAAAACTGAGCTTCTGGAGACAGCAGGAAAGATCCGTTTCAAGTAAAAGGAGATGCTATTTATGATAATATAATACTTAGGCTATACAAAAAAAATTTTCCTTGCCACAGACTAGCTGTTTTTTTTTTTTTCCCTCACTGGTGGTTTGTAATAAACCCTTATATTTACTGCAAAGCTGATTTGGAGCCATGTTTATACGGGGAAATCACTGTATAAAATTGCTTTTTATACATTTACACAATTTCTTGAATACAATTTTAGCAATTGTATACAATTTTGTACTAGTTTTTAGTTGCTCACTGGTGGTTTGTAAAATACCATTATATAAACGGCAAATAATATTTGGAGCCATTTATATAGTGAAAATCACTATAAAAATACATACGAATTTATGTATTTAATTATTTAACAATTTTAAACCAGTTGCTTTTAGTTGCTCAATTGTGGTTTGTAAAACACCATAACATTCGCTGCAAAGTTGATTTGGAGCCATTTATATTGTGAAAATCACAATAAAAATACACTTGAATTGATTTTAGCAATTTTTTACTGGGCAAATCAGCACAGAGAGAGACTTAACTATTTAGGATTTAATATTTCTTATTTTTATAAGGTATTTTGGCTGTGATTTTAAATATTTACAACAAACTTTCCTGAAGTACGCATTAATTATTTAATTTCAGGGCCATACAAAATATGTTCCAAAATCTAGTGAGCTGCCTCTTTGTATACCGCCTAAATAAACAACCACCTACTAAAGCAGCATAATAACAATCACAGAACCTCATTTAGTAACCAATTTTGAATACTCTACACAAGTAGCGAAACAGAGATTAACTAAAAGAAAACTAACAGAACAATAATCTAATAAGCCTAAATAGGCCTATACACAAAGAAACTCAATTCGAATTAAGTAGTGAATTACATTTTTGGTACAGTCTATACATAGGGAGCGCAAATACAATGCCTTAAAATAATGCCTCTGTAGAAACCTGGAACACAGAAGTTGAGTCCTAAAACTGTTTACGTTATTTTGGTACTTGTGATTGTTCAGAACATTGCTGGAAAGGAAATGCAGAGACTGGACTTCTTGGAAGTTTAACCGAACACACCTACTCTAGTGTGTGTTTATGTGCTTTGGGAATGCTTCAGAAAACAGAGAGCGAGAAAGAGATTGCAAGCGAGATACAAGGTCAAGGCCCTAAGGATGTCATCTGATTATGAGCAGACTCATTTTCTGCTTCCGTACTCTTCCTCGCTTCTCGCCCCATTCTCCACTCCTCGGATCTCCTTGAACCTGTCCGTCATACTGTCAGCTGTCATCAAGAGACGATGGAGGTACATCTGTCAGTCTTGCCTGGGTGACAAGGCCATATTTCCTGTGTCCATGACTGCTAAATTTCCCTTTCTCCAACCTTGTCCTGTTCTTGGCTCACTTTCATCTAGCTCACACTTCCTTTACTCACCTAATTCTTCCCATCTCTCTGTCTTCTCAAACCTGAAAGCTTTATCTCCATGAATCTTCCCGTGTTCCATTACAGTAAATCTTTTCCTGGAGGGTTGGAGGGTTGAAGCGCTACCAAATATTTTGCTAAATAAAAACTTCAAATTAAAACTAAGCACAGAACTAAGAAACAGCATGCATATGTTTCATGTATTTCGTGACTTAATCCCGTTACGCAAGCGCCGAGACTCACAACAGGCTAGTTTCATAAAGGGGGCTGCAAAGAATACGGATGATGTATTACTCAATTAGGTGACAGCTGAGAAAAACAGCATGTCCAGTCTGTGTTTTCCAGGAGCTCTCTGTCTCCACTTGCCTGATGTCACTTCACAGTGTCTTGTGATGGATTCCAGGCCAAAAGGCACTCGAGAGGGCGGATGGAGTATATGAGAGAGAGCTTGTCAGCAGGGTATGCTAACGGCTGCCTGCCTGCCAGATCTGCCACGCCAAACACTTCCTCTACATCCTGCCCTCCTTCAGAGCACTTCCTGCAAACACCCAGAAATCAGCTGCAGCGAAGAGAGACGCTTCTGTCGGTGCATTCATATACACATTCACACCCGCTGATTGCCAAAAACAGCAATTAATTAATTCTCTAATGTCACGGTGTCACATAAACAGGAAAACATGGTTTCCTGGCACATGGAAGTGTAACATAATTATTATTCAGTCTAATGAGGGTTTTATCTTGTGGTGATAAGCCTCCCCGAGATGGTGGTCTGCTTCAGAAACACTTTGATGCCAATCTGTCAGTGGACAGCTGCAACACACCGGGGACACAGCTGATCCAGGGTCAGATTGGGAGTGTGATGCCATATTCTAACCAGGAGTGATGCGTCAAGCATCAAAGTTATATTAAAAAATAATAATAATAATTAACACTAAAATAACCAAAAAAAAAAAGAATTTTAAATATTGTAGAATATTTTGAATCAACAAAATTAAATATTTTAATATTTTTCAATATGTTACTATTTTAAATAAATAAAAACAAAATAAAATAAATAAAGAATTAGCATACCCTACAGCTTATGTCCATGGCCTGCACAGCAAAATATCCAGTGTTGTTTAGAGTTGTTTTTATGGTGTTAATTTATCAGAGTTAAAAAGTGTTGATTCTGTTGTTGATTTGAATGGCATTAACACTTGCAGTGTAAATCAGTGGTCGGAGTCAGTGTAATTACAGCGAGTTGACATAATTGACACTGGTGATGAGTTGATCCAATTTCCGGTCCTTGCACATTATTTACTTTTTGATTAATGGCGGACAACCACAAGGAGAGGACAGTGTTCAAACAGGTATAATATTTTATAACCACTTAAATTGACCAATTTTCATGTTTAGTTTACGTTTCTCACAATTCAGAATAATATTAGTACATTTCTCAACATTGCCAGAGTGCTAACAGTATTTCTTTTCAGATAACGCGACAGACCACCGACAGGATATCGAGGCCATTTAGCTGCACCACTTGTTAGCAAGCAAATTGAGGTAAGAATGGCATTGTTTGTTAGTTAGCCGTTTTAAACGTAAGTTTTCTTATATTTGAGAATCTGGGGTAGATAACAGGGTCGTTTCTGTGATTTGTGTAACTTGACTGTTTAATGAGTTAAATTAACGCAAATAACGCAGCAT